TCACTCTATCTATCGCTCTCTCACTCTCTCTCTCTCTCTCTCTTCGCTATTGAATCACTTCCGTCGCAAACCCCGCTTCTACGCGTCTCGCTTTCGCTCTTCTTTTACTCTTGTGTTCCTCCGCTTCTTCTGCTTTGCTCGTCTTATTCTGCTTCTTCCGCTTTGTCCAGTCTTCCTCTCCTGCGCGGGAATCTCTTGCTGCAACTCGTCTCCCGCTCGAAGCTGCAATTCAGAAAAGAGAACACGATTTTTATGCCGGTCGTTTGTGGACAAAGAAAGGAGAAAGAAACGACGTGGACGCGTGCCACGATTCAACCGGTACCGCGATCATTCCGCACTTCAACCTCTCACTAGCCGCGGGATTCTCACGTGAGAACGCGTTCTACGCATGCAACTAGGCTGTCGTCCGCTGGATTAAGGGTTTCTCCGGACAGAACCTCGCACTAATTTCAATCGAGACGCGTTTCGTCACTCGCGTAGTGGAAACGTCGTCTGTTAATTTTCCAGGATCGCCGCGACGCGATGACTTTCGACACCTGACGTTTCAGTTGGCGAGGACGTTTCGACGGTGAGGAGAAGGAAACGATTTTTGGAGAGAATGAAACATTCAAGCTAGCCGACGACGAAGAAGGAGATCGAATTTAAAGGGAACAGAAGAGCTTGTCACTCGAACGTGAAGAATTTCATCCGACACCGCATATTCTTCGCGTGGAACGTTTCACGATTTGTTCGAAGAAACGTTTCGTCGGGATTATTTCGCGAGAGCACGTGAGCCGCGATACGGTTTGCCGTCGCGTCACATTTCGCCGCGGAGCGAGGATACCGAATTCGTGAAAATTTGCGTGACGAGACTTTTCGTAGAAAACGGTCAATGTTGCACTGTCTTCCGTTCGTAGAATTGGAAACGAGGAAGAACTGAAATTAAAGGCGAAACGATCAAAGTTGCTGTCTCTCTCTGAATTACCGCGACGATAAATTCGTCCATTTCACGCCAGGTTTTCCTGATACACTCGTGTTTTTCACATCGAAACGGTATTGAAACACTGGTCTTTTTTCCCGGTATCAACCGTCCGTCCATTAGCGGTCCGACGAGACGTTTTCACGTTCCTCTCTCGTTCACCGGAATTAATTAATCGGATGAAAGCGAGTTGCACGCGATACTCGACGCGGTGCTATCTGAAAATTCTTCGTGACGTTTTTTCTCGCGGTGGTCGCGATAAAATTCCGAGGAAAGTTCCTTCTCCGACGATTCGTGGTGTCGCACCGTGAAAGCGTCCTTTGAACTGGGGTCGATCTGAGATCTTAAGGGAGAAGCTGTCGGATGAATTTTAATCGGTCGCACTGAACGGAAGAAGACTGTTCCTCTCATCACCTTCCGAAGAGTGAACGGCATCGTCCGCGGCATCGATAGTTTCTCTCTGATCGTCGACACGTTTGCACGGTGATAACGGGCGATAAAGGGAAAGGAAGAATTTCGTTTGGACGTGGAATCGGGACGAGCGTTCGTCCTGTTAATTCCTCGATGCGGTTTCCCCCGGTTCGATTAGCCGTATCTTAACAAGGCACTCCATTTCCGGCACGGTGCCGGGATTAAGAAAGGATCGAGCCGTCCACGATCGCGACGAAACACTGCAGACGACGATGACGTGTACCGGGCATGTCAGGGAAGTGGGATGGAGGGGGTGGATCAGCGGTGGTTGGCCGAAAGAGGGGAAAACTGACCAAAATCACGGTGGAAAAAAGAAAGGATCGGGGGAGATCCAACGTTCCCGTATCCTTTCGTAGGGGGACGTGGATCGTGGGTGATCACTTTGTTTCTAAGTCCCGCGACGGATCGTCGAGGCACTCGAAGAGTAGGTGTAACACTAAACGGAGGAACGAAGCACGAAATCGAAGGAGAAAAATCCCAAGATCCCTTACTATTCTTCCAAAGGTGTAACGGCACCGGGAAGAATAGAAGCGGTTGACGGAGAATTGGTGTGTAAACGCACTTGGTCGACTTCTCTCTCCTCTAAGACGAGTATGCCAAGAGAGTGTGCGGTCTGTCAGGATGCAAGAGGACGTGTGATGCGCGTTGTTCTAGTATCCCGTGTTGCAGTGTCGCGAAGGCGAAGGCGAAGGCGAAGGCGAAGGCGAAGACGAAGACGAAGGAGCACCACGACGACAACGACGACAACGACAACGACGATAACGGCGCGTACGGTTACGATGGAGGAAAAAGCTCTCTCCTCTTCCGCGTTCTCGAGTCCTTGACGGAGGAGGAACCGAAACTGACTCGGGTCTGCGGCTCGCGAGAAACGCTAAGTCCTTCTCCGTCGGGGGCCGGTGGTGGCGCGCTTCTCAGACCGCGTGCGTCTGACTAAAAGCCACCCCCTCGTGCCTTAAAGAACGCGTGTTCGGGTAGGGGCGTTGTCTTAGGTGGTGCGCGGTCGCGAAATTTCTGGCTGCCTCCGGCTCCCTTCGCCAGCTCCCTTTTCCGCTTAAGAGGCTCGCGAGCCAGGGTCCTTAGGACCTGGGCCCCGGCCCAGGTCACCCTCGACCGACGTCCGACCCTTGACCGGTCCTCCCACGACCAAAATCTACCTCGGAGAGGACGAAAAACTGAGCCTGCCCTAGGACAGCAGTTTTCAAGCCACCCCTCTTTTCCTTTCCCCCCACCAACGCCGACTCTCCGCGATCAGGCGCGCGCTCTGTCTCCCCCTTTTCCTCAACACTCAGGCCTGCCGCCACCCCTCGCGTCCTGCTCCTTCTGCCGCAAGCTCCTCGGCCCTGTGGGTGGGGGATTCTCGACTCCGCCGACGTCTCCTACGGGGGTAGCCCTCCAAAGGGGTGAGAAAGCGAGTGGGGCGTTCTCTCTTTTTCCACCTTCTCCTCCGCGATCTCTCTTTTCCTTTTTATCGCCCCCCGCCGATAGTTATCCTCCCTCTCGAGGAAACCCCGAGGAAAGCCAGGGTGCGAGAACTCTGATCCATCTTTGTCTGTGTACCTCGATCACCCTCTCCTGCCGCCAACTTACGTTCCAACGCCAACATAAACACGCGCCTACTTTTCTTCGCCTACTCTTCTTCCGCGATTGCCCTTGAAAATTCTCTCCCTCCCTCTTTCTCCACCTCTCCCCGTCTTTCTCCCTCCTTCCCGACGTAACCCGCGCGACACGTCGCTTTTTCCTCTTTTCTTCTCTCCGCTGTTTACGCCTGTTATACGTGTATAGCCACTCTGGTGAAACGCTGCCCTTATTCTTCCCTAGTCTCTCGACGATGCTCGCGGACGTGCGAACGTCACGACCCGATGAATTCGACTGACCGAAAAATATTGTTGCCGGGGGCTCCTCGAGTAAGGGGGTGTAGAGGCAGTCTGAGGTATCGAATAAAAAGAAGGGGACCGTCGTATAAAAATGGCCTCCACCCTTATGCTCCGTATGGCCACACACGCGTGACTAACCAGAACGAGGGGGAGTGGGACGTTCTTTCTTTTTTATCCCTTCCCTCTCGACCCTTCGAATCCCATTTTTTCCAACGACCGCAACTTTTTCAACCTAACCACCTT